AAGGGGCAGCGGACAGACCTCCACGGTACGCCGGGAGCCCCTCTGCCTCCGCACGCCCTGCCTAGCCTCCTGCCAAAGCCGCCTTTACCGCAGCACGCTGCTTGCTGCACGCGCCCTGGCTTGCTGCTCCTCCGCCCGTCCTAGCCCTGCGGTGGGTCTCTGCGTGGTTCCCGCCGGCTGCAGGAGCCGCGAGCCCGGGCGTACTCACCATCTTGCCCCCAGTGGCCCTCATGTGCTGCTGCTCTGCCAGCCAGTGCTTATCTTGCGGGTCGGCTGCGTACTGCAATAAAGCAGCAAGGACCTAGCTGAACACAGGCAACAGACCTTCCGCTCTGACCACCCTCCTGCTGGGACGCTGCGTCCCACTCCAGCGCTCCCTCGAGCGTGCTGCCCCCCACGGTGCTGCCCACTGGGGACTGCCAGGGGGGCATGGCTCGGCTCTGCCTGCTGTTTCTCCAACCTCAAGCCTTGGCTCCGGGCAAATCCACCGCCTCGGAGGCTGCACTAAACTGTTAACTTATGTACCAGGGTGCTAGCCAGACTGTGTGAGTACGTGCTCTAAAATAACAAACAAGAGCGTGGGGGTGGAAGAAAACAAGCGAGCCCAAGCACATGCTCCCGATTCCCATCGGAAACTTTCTGAGCAAACCCCAAAGGAGGAAGTGTGCTGCTGCGGCATCTGACCTTAAAGAGGTGGGGATGCTTGATGTAGAGTCGCCCTCTTGTTCCTCCCATCCCGAGAGCTCTGAAAGAGGAACACGAAGGGGGCGTTACGCCTGTGCAGAGGGTGGCTGTGGTGGTATGGGGACACCTCCTCTCCTCCCCAAGCCCTTCCTACTGCTTTTGAGGCAGAGAAGCGAAGTGACGGGAGGAGTCTTACGGGCTCCTGCCTTGGAGACACCACCCTCCATCGACAGGGCCATTCCTTACTTGTTTGCTCGAGATCCCAGCACAAAGGTTGTGGTTTCAGTCAGTCGGGATGGATCCCACTACAGAGCAATTGGAAAAGGGGCAACATTAGAAATGAAGCTGGTGCCGGCCCATGTTCCACGAGCCTCAGCTCTCTGACAGGAAACCTCGGGACCGCCCCCAGCCTGGGAAGGAGGGAGCTGGCCACAGACCTCCGGACTTCCACTGAGGAGGGAAGTTACATTCCCTCTGGGCTGATCTAAGCAGTTTCCCTAGTGGGAAACACTTGTGGGATCCTCCTGGCTACTACTGCTCTCCCCAGGTCTCCTAACAGCGGCACCACACCGCAGAGCTACAGGCTACAGTGCCTGGGGAGACAAGCAAAGGCCTCCAGGTACTTCGCTCCTCTTCTTGCTGCTCTCCTGCACTGCAGGGGTCCGTCGGAGCAGAGCACAGCTCAGCGCTGTCCTCCACTCCTGCAGCAGTAGGGCTCTGCTGGCGGAAGCAAAGGGGAGGAGAGGGTGAGCCCAGCAGTGTTGGCCAGCCAATACCTTTGGTCCATCCCTTCTCACGGGCTCAGAGACTTTGAGCTTCCACCTGAGGGGAAGGAAAATGCAGTAAGAACGAGTCCCTGCAGGACCAGCGCAGTCACCACTTCAGCACCAGCGGCAGGGATTGAGCACCAGCCCTTCCAGATCTGCCTTTGCTTACACCCTTCATTCCCCTGCAGCACCCACCTCCGCACCCTCATCTTTGCTGCACTTTCTCCTCTCCCCAGCTGCCATGATCCCACCACCACCTGTGTCTCACACTGCTCACTCTGAATGGTCCATCTGGACCTTTTCACCCCTTCACCCCGTTTAAAACTGCTTCCTCGAAGGTCTTTGCCTCCTGGAGGGGGAACAGCTCGACCTAACCCCCTTCTGCCTGCCCTCTGGCACCCCCTGCACCTCTCCTTTCTGCAGGAGGGGAAGGAGACCGCAGGGTTTCTGTACTCCCCATTTGGGCAGCGTCATTTCCCCCCCGGCCCTCCCGAACCAGGGGCTCCAACTCAGGACCCATACTCACGCAGCCATGCCTGAGACCCCACGATCGTTCAACAGGCTCTGTCCTGGAGGCCGCCCCTTTCTCTGCATGGAAGAAAACCTTCAGTGACACAGCTGTACAGACCAAGAGAACCCTCTCATTACCCGCTCCTTCCCAGGGAAGCTGCTCTTTTTGTCATGAGCAGAAATGCTGGCTGGCACAAGAGCGAGCACCTCTGAGGCACCCCAAAAGCTGCCTGTGCACTTGCACATCCTCACACTCTGTGGGAATGGCCAGGAACGAGGAACAGGCTTCCTGAAACATAAAAGGAGCACCTCTCCTATGAGGACAAGCTGAGAGAGTTGGGATTGTTCCGCCTGGAGAAAAGGCGGCTCTGGGGAGATCTAACTGTGGTCTTCTGGTGCGGGAAGGGGGCCTACAGGAAAGATGGTGAGGGACTGTTTATCAGGGAGTGCAGTGACAGGACAAGGGGGAATGGGTTTAAGCTGAAGGAGGGTAGATTTAGATCAGATGTTAGAAAGAAATTCTTTACTGTTAGAGTGGTGAGGCCCTGGCACAGGTTGCCCAGAAAGGTTGTGGAGGCCCCATCCCTGGAAGCGTTCAAGGCCAGGTTGGATGGGGCTTTGGGCAACCTGGTCTAGTGGAGGGTGTCCCGCACCATGGCAGGGGGGTTGGAACTAGATGACCTTAAAGATCCCTTCCAACCCAAACCATTCTATGATTCTATGAAAATCCCTTGTACAGAAAACCTTCCTACCTTTTTGGGAACAGGGCTCCCTCGACGATTCAGCTCCTCATCCATCTGTCGGGCACGCTGGAAGAGGAATGGCAGTGGGATGAGCAGGGCCCTTCTCCCCACCTAGTCATGCAGGCCCCATCCAGCCAGCCGCTCTCTCCTTTGCCGCGCTCGAGGCAGAGAGCACAAGCCCACAGGGAAACCCCAACCCCACTCTGTCTCAGTAAGAAGCACCAAACCGCAACAAGCAGTGACCACGCCTGGGATTTTCCTTGCCCTGTAGGTACCCTTCTCTCCTAGGCCAACATCCCCCAGCTCTGCTTCCTTGCTAGTGCGCTGACAGACAAGAAAAGGCAGAGAACAAAGCAATTCCAACCCTCCTCCTCCTTCTCCCAGCTCTTACAAGTCATTCAGGCCTCTGGAACAATAACTTTTACCTTTGGTACTGCTTGCTCATGGGGCAACCTGGGAACGACCTTTTTGCCGTCAGAGAACAGCAGTTTGGCCTGCAGGAAAAGAAAGAAGGGTTACCCGATTCTCAGCCGAGAGGGACCTGCACTTCTGCATATCTGCCCGGAAGCCCTGTAACAGCTCTGCTCTCAGAGTGCTGCCGTGCAGCACATTCACAGATGGCGAGATGCAAAAGCACAATCTGAGCGTGATAAAGTCTGGGCAAGCGGGATAAAAGCAAGACGTGAAATTAAAAAATCCCCCTCCCCCAGGACTCTCCGACAGGCACTGGGGCTGGTCTCTGTGGAAGCTCCAGCCACGTGACACGTGCCGACAGCAGCAGTGGAAAGCAGCAGCACTGGCTGCCCAGCCCTGACTGCTCTCCTCTTGATGGCGAGAATGAAGCCAAGCACAGCAACCACAGAACGGCTGCAGATGTACCCCCTGACTAATGACAAAGCCGTTATGAGGGATGTGTTTTAGCTGGGCTGCTCTGCTCAGCCAGGCACTGGGCTCTGCTGAAGCAGTGGAGCCCCTTGCTAGTGCCCACCTGCTCCAGGCAGCTCCGACAGGTCTCCTGGATGAGCTGCTCCGGGTCCACCTCCTCCCCGACATTATCGCGGACATTGATTGCTGCCTTCTGGAAAAACTGGAGAGAAGGCGGCAGGAGGGGGTTAGAGCCACAGCAGCCAGGCAGTATCGGGACAGGCACACA